TTGCTGCTGGGTTCTACTGTGTACGTGTGTACAGATTTGTACACATGTTTTTGCTATACCATGAATGCCAATCCCTTCCGTGCATCCATTTGGGGGATCAGTGTTGACGGAGCTGCTGAGGCGCAACTATGCTAGGCCAATGATGATGTAAGCGAATATGCCTAAAATTGCCAGTGAACAGGCTTGTTGATGACTGTCTTTGGTACGTTTTTTTAGTGACAGCTTTTAGAGCTCCTTGTTCACTGCCACGTGGGGCATTGTTGCCGATAGAACAGGACGTTGAAGTTCCTTCGACAATCGGCGAAAATGGCGATAACGCGAAACACCGAGGCGGTCCATTTCATCGTTCTGCGGTGGACTGTTTGTCCCCACGACTTTCTCAGAGGACGTGAGTTTTTTGCCTGGCGATACAGCAATGTATAAGATCCTTCCAATTTCTGTTTTGGCTTTTCGGAGAAATTGCCGGTAAAAGCACTGAAATACGTGTAGTTTTTTTAGGTTGTGATAACTTTCCGTTCTGGCCTGCACACATCCTAATACTAAGATCATCCAAACAGTTAGTATGGGGTCTCGTTTACGTGACGTGAGGTATAGATTGATCCTGAGTTCCATGCCGCTAGTCATCGATTCAGTGTTTGTGTGCTGCTTCTCCGTGGTTCGCACGAAATTCTTTACTTTCTGGCAGCAAACGTCTGTTGACTGTCAGCATCGCAAGTAGCGTTTTCTGATCATTGCCTTTCAAAAAACAACGAAGTTGAGAGTGGCATTTTAGCTTTCGCAGTCTAAAAACAAACTGTTTTAGCAGGAATGTGGCGGATGTAGCTCACACCGCCACACACGTCTGGCTGCCACGTTCATCTCGCATCAGCCGACGTAGGAGCCACTCGAATTCGCTTCCTCATCTCGATAAAGGGGAAGTGTCGTGCACCTCCACATTCAGGTTTGCCACTGTTTCTTTTTTCTACGAAAAATTGGTGGAACAGATCGAATTTTTTAACTAGTAACAAAGTGGGCCACTGACGCGCGACCGGCTTTGATAGATTCTTCGTGATGTTGACGAATGCTCAAGTGCATTAACTGTACCGCAATTTGCACGTTTTCCAGTGCTGCATCGCCGACGGGTTACGGTGTGTCCGATCAGCGAAGAAGGCGGATGTACAGAATCGCACTCAATTTCTTCAACAAGTAAGCAGCTGTCATTTCCTGTGCGGTTATTTGTATGCGTTGATTGAAGGCTATTTCTCTGTCTCTTCCTCTTTATCGGCTCCATTCCTCAGTCGTTGCCTGTAGCATGCTGATACTGAAGGAATTGCTGGGTCTTGCAAATTGATATTTTGAAGAGCACCACTATTGTTGGAAAACTGCATCGTCTGTCGGTTTTTCGTTCGCATATCGCTTCTCGACTTTTGAACTTTAGGAATCTGTTTCTTCCATCTTGAATGTGCTGGCATTTTCCATCACCTTTTCCCCAGCGCCCTGTTCTGTAGGCTCATTTTCTTGCTTTTTGGATTGAGCTTCTGTGCATCTCAGCCCTTTCTTAAATATTGCTTGTAGAAGGAAGCGCGTTATCAGGAAAACGTAATTGATTGTGCTGTTTGTGCTTGCTGTTGCCTTCACAGCTCAGTTTTTAGGAAAGTCTGGGAAGCTTGGCCGATGTAGGGAACTGTCTACGCGCTATTCTGGGTGAATGTATAAACTGAGCTGGGAACCAGTTGATGTAGCAGCCTGTGTTCGTCTTTAGTATAAGTTGGAGAAAGTATCCTCAGTCTTTTCCCTTATAAAGGCTTTTAATGCTGAATGCCTTCCTCAAGTTGACGAGCAGGAAAGTTCTTTTAACCAGGTACCTTTTGTTAAAAAGCGTAATATGTTACTTTGCTATTGTACTTGTTGCCGGTCACCAAGCTGTCTTGCGAGGCGATTCCTGGCAAGATCCTGTAAATAAGAGGGAGCAAACGCATGGGTTGAGTTTTCAATTGTTCATGCGTTTTTTGCATTTATGCATTTGCAAAAATGCATACTGTCGACGGGTTTTCAGTGTGTGTGTGTGTGTCTGTCTGTCTGTCTGTCTGTCTGCGTGTATCCTCCGTGTTCGTCTGTACCGATTTTTCATCTAGAGACCTATGAAAGCTACAAGGCTGAAACTTTGGAACT